GAAGCTCTTCTTACTGCTCCGTCACAAGTGGGCGAATTTGACATTTTTATATAGGTGAGTTCAAATTAAATAAATTAAATTATAAGTATTTATAAATTAACAAATTACATGAAACTACATATGTATTATATTGCACATTTTTGGCACGTGTAATTATTGGTATTGATAGATTAATCATTATTTTTTATCACTTTTCTCATATTAAAGGAAATTTAAAAAAATAACACAACAAAAAACACACAAATTTTGATTATAATTAGGTTAGGTAACTTTTAATAATTATTCTATAATTTAGGGCTTGTTCATATTTACTTAATTTCAATTCAGTTCAGTTCAGTTCAATTCAGCTCAGTTCAGTAAATGTGAACAAACCCTTATTATGAAGAGTCTATTATTAGTAAAATAAATATTTTGAATACATAATTATGTATAAAGACTAGAATAGACCTGATCTACAATAACTTATTGTAGACCCAACCTTCTATTGTACCATACGAATGTGATTATATCATACGAAATGTGATTATATTACTACAAAAGTGATTATATGATCCTTAAACTGTTATGTAAATATATCACTCAAAAAGTGAATTTATCATTGTAAAAAGTATCAAATAGTAAATTACATCATTCAAAAGATGATTTTTAAATTTTATAATCCTAAAGATAATTATATATTTTCATTAAATGGTTTAATATGAGATTATATAATTCAAAATATGACTCACAAAAAGATAATTATATCGTCTAAAAAGTGATTATATCATCTACAATGTGATTATCTTATTTGAAAATGTCAAATTTTGGGTCTACAATAATTTATTGTAGACCGGGTCCATACAAGACCATATAGTATTTTACCAACAAATTTATATCATTTTCTTCTTGTTAATTAAATAAATATATTTTAACAATATGTATTTACCCTGTAAATAGATTTCTTTTTTGCATACTATTTTTTTTTTTGTATTTAACCCGTAAATAGATTTCTTTTTTACACTATTATTCATTCTCTCTTATATAGTTATTTTTTTTTTCCCAATAATTAACTAATTTAAAGTATTTTTTAAAATCTTTCTTGACAAGTTTTTCATACACAATTAAATACAAGTTTTTCATACACAATTAAATACAAAATCTTTCTTGACAAGTTTTTCATACACAATTAAATAAAAAATATCCTTGTTTTATTAATGGTAAAGTAGTTCATAGCACTATATATGTCACAATTTTTGTTAAGAATTTGATTTTTTAAAACTTACTTTATGGTATCTGTAGAATAGTGTAATTCTCCTTGGTGGAGGCTTTCTCATTAATTGAATATATATAGGATTTACAACCTAATTATGAGATAACCTAAATTACACAAAGATATATTTTACAGAATATTCACAAGATAATATAAACATATTATCTAACACATCCCCGTAGTCGAAGCGGGAGAAGGTCGAATGCTGAGACTGTCTCTGAAATCTAGGAATAGTTGGCGAGGTAACCCCTTTGTAAAAATATCCGCATACTGATATGAAGACGGAACATGTAAGACCTTGATCTCACCAAGAGCGACTTTATCGCGTACAAAATGAATGTCCATCTCAATGTGTTTGGTACGTTGGTGTTGTATCGGATTAGAAGATAAGTAAACGGCAGAGATATTATCACAATAGACCAAGGATGTCCGTCGAATAGGGCAATGTAACTCAAGAAGTAGGTTCCGGAGCCAACATAATTCAGAAACAACATTAGCGACACCACTATATTCTGCTTCAGCACTTGATTTGGACAATGTAGCTTGTCGTTTTGTTGACCAATAGATCGACCAGATTGTCACCTAAATAAACACAATACCCTGAAGTGGAGCGTCGAGTGTCCGGGCATCCTGCCCAATCGGCATCTGTGTACGAAGTAAGTCTCGTAGGAGCAGAACGGTACAAATGTAGACCATGATCATAAGTGCCTTAAATATATCTGATAATACGCTTAAGAGCGTTAAAATGAGGTTCCTTGGGAGCATGCATAAACAGACAGATCTGCTGGACAACATAAGCAATGTCAAGTCTGGTAAAAGTAAGGTACTGTAGAGCACCTGCAAGGCTCCTGTAAAGAGAGGGATCCGTCATGAGCTCACCATCATGAGCACTAAGTTTCGACTTAGTGTCGACTGGAGTGACAACCGGCTTGCAACTGTCCATTTTTGCCCTGTGAATAATTTCCTCAGCATACTTACTATGACAAAGGATCATGGAGTCCTTTGTTCTGGTTACAGAAACCCCCAAAAAATAACTCAACTTCCCCAGATCAGTCATGGAGAATTCGGACTTAAGAAGAGCAATAATATCACTTTTGCTGCAAACAAAACCAATCTGCAAAAGATAGTTAGAAAATCTTTGGTACCAAGCCCGAGGAGCCTGTTTGAGACCATAGAGAGATTTGTTAAGCCGGCAAACATGTGTGGGAGCCTTGGGATTTACAAATCCCGGTGGTTGATGCATATAAACGGTCTCTTTTAAGTCACCATGAAGAAACGCATTTTTGACATCTAATTGATGAATAGGCCAGTCCCTACCCAAAGCAATACTCAAAACAGCACGAATAATCGCCGGTTTCACCACAGGACTAAATGTCTCATCACAATCCACACCAACCTGTTGAGACTTGCCATTCACAACAAGTCTTGCTTTGTGTCTCTCCAAATCACCATTTTCCCTGTATTTGTGTTTAAATAACCACATACAACGAATAATATTGACCCCTTCCGGTCTTGGAACAAGGTCCCAAGTATGCTGTTTTGTAAGAGCATTACATTCCTCATTCATGGCGGCATTCCAATTATGGTCAAGCATGGCTAATTTCTGGTTTTTAGGAAGTGGGGAAATAGAAGGAACCGTAATATGAGCTTGATATTTGGGGTTCGGCTTAAAAATCCCGTCTTTAGCACGTGTGGTCATAGTGTGGGAAGGGCGAGAGATAGGCCGAGAGTGAGGAGAGTTGACTGGGGTTGGGCTCGGTAGTGAACCGAATCGAATTGAAGGTGAAATAGGAGAGTGAGGTGGGCTAGGAGGTGATATTTGTGGGCTAGGCAGGGGGGTCCGCAGGTGGCTTGCGCTTGAAGAGGGAATTCCGCGGCCCGCATGCGGAGTGGACTGTAAGTCCGTGGGATTTGGGGAATTAGTGGGTTTTGTGGGATTTTGTTGTGGGCCAAGTGTATTAGTGGGATTTGTGGGATTTTTGTGTTGTAAAGTTTGGCAGTGAGTTTGCATGAGCAAATTGTTACTGTCACATGAATAAAAAAACTCATAATCATTTTCTTTAAATTGCTGAAGGTTTGAGAAGGGGAATTGATCTTCAACAAATGTTACATGACGAGAAATAATTATTTTGCTTAATGATAAATCATAGCATAAATAACCCCGATGATTAGAAGGAAATCCCAAGAAAACACATGGTGTGGACCTAGGTGCAAGCTTATTAGGAGCGGTGGCACTAAGGTTTGGGTAGCAAAGACAACCAAAAATACGAAGATGATCGTATGTGGGCACTCGACGAAATAAGATTTCGGTTGGTGTTTTATTTTGTATGGTTGTGGAGGGAAGAATGTTAAGGATATATGCTAACATATTCACCGAATAAACCCAAAAAGAAGGTGGAAGGGAGACATGAAAGAGAATGGTTCGAGACATATTGTTAATTGTGCGTATAATTCTTTCGGCTTTGCCATTTTGGGAAGAAGTGTTTGGACAAGAGAAGCGAAAGATCATGCCATTATTAGCACAAAAAGTACGAAAAGGAGAATTATCAAATTCACGGCCATTGTCACTTTGAAAAGTTTTAATGTCCTTTTCGAATTGGGTTTTAATATATGCTCGAAAATTGACAAGAATATTATAGATTTGCGATTTATATTTCAACGGAAACACCCAAATAAAATGTGAGAAATCATCAAGCAAAACTAAATAGTATTTGTGACCCAATTTGCTAGGAATAGGAGATGTCCATAAATCCATATGAATAATGTCAAATGGTGAAAAAGTAACGGAAGTAGAGGACTTAAAAGGAAGTCGTACATGTTTACCCAAAGGACAAGAATATCAAAATTGAGAATTATTTCTCTTATTACAACGAATGAAATTGTTTTTCCTAAGAAAATCAAAAACTGGTTCGCGGGGGTGTCCAAGTCTATGATGCAAAGTGGAAGGAGAAATAGTTGCTAGAGAGAGTTGACTAATGCCATTTGATGCGGAAGAGTTGGAAAAAAGATAGAGGTCCCCTACACTATTGCACCTCGCTAGAGTTGTCCCCGAATGAAGGTCCTTCACAGAAAAACCGAGAGGGTCAAACTCAACAGACACAGAATTATCACATGCAAATTTCCTAACAGAAATTAAATTCTTGATAATATTAGGAACATGTAAGACATTTTTGAGGGAAAAAGGTGGATTAGGTGAGGGAGTAGTGGTAATGCCATAGCCATGAATTGGAATACGTTTGCCATCACCAACTAAAATAAATTGAGCAGTGCTCAAATTAAAGATTACCCGAGTCACGAGTCATGTGAGAAGTCGCACCCGTGTCCATGTACCATCCGTTGTCGGGAGGTTGGAGACTCATCGAACTGTAGGCTTGCCCCAAATCAGTAGGTGACATAAGTTGACCATAATCGGTTTGAGCGGGACCGGCATAATAGGCTTGAAATTGTTGAGATTTGGGCCCCAACACGGATTGTTGTTGATTGCCACGAAACTGGGCCTGACCAGTTGGGTAAGGGCAGGGTGGTGAAGCCCACTGCCCTTGCTGCTGCTGTTGTGGCCAACTGGGCTGCCCCAGTGAGGAACTTGCTGTTGGGCCGCTTGAGTAGGCCCAGTAGGCTGTCCGTGGCTTTGTTGTTGCGAATTGCTGTTGGTGCCTCGCCCACGACCCTTTGCTTTCCCTTGCTTGGAGTTGCCGCGTCCACGACCTTTGCCACCCCTACCGCCGCCGCGTTGCTGGTCGGCCGCCGCGGGCTAGGTGGTGGTTGACGGTTGGGCTTGCGAGATTTGGGCCACAAAAGCTTGACCTTGGTCTTTTTGCTTGTTCTTTCTAGTTTCCTCCAATAAGAACATGGACCTTGCCTTGTTGAAGCTCGGTGTTGGTTCGGATTGTGACACTATGGCAGCCACGGTGTCGTATTCTCCCTCGGTGAGTCCAGCAATCAATTGCATAACCATCTTTCGATCGGAGACCGGGCAATCAACATTAGCTAATTGATCCGCAAGAAGCTTGATGTGCTTACAATGATCACTCATGTTTGCATAGTGCTCGAGTTTCGCGTTAGCGAATTGTTCCTCTAGGTAAACAGCCCAAGTATGCTTGTTATCATGAAAAATCTCCTCGAGACGGGTCCATAGTTCTAGAGCGGTGGCACCCGGCTTAATTATAGTTTGGACTAGGTCCTTAGAAATGGTTCCATAGATCCAATTTTTTACAATTGCATCAAGTCTCTTCCAAGTTTCATCATCAATTCCCGCCGGTCGAGAAACCTTAGAGTCAATGTGGTTTTGAAGGTTGTAAGCACACGTTTGACATTGAAAAAGCTCTGCCCATGTAGCATATTGGGCTTCTTCTTGGTCGAGAGTAACGCTCATGAGGTTTTTGATGTGAACGGTGAAGGCTGGATGGAATGTGTTTGAGGGAGAAGGAGGAGGAGGAGGAGGAGGAGGGGAAGGAGGGGTATCACCTATGGCCATGGAGGAAGAAGGAGAGGGCACGGTGATGGTGGTGCACGGTTAGGGCACGGTGAGGGTCCTAAGGATCGATTAGGGTTTGAAAGAGAGAAAACAACGAAAAACCCTAAAAGGAATCTGATAACATGTAGAATAGTGTAATTCTCCTTGGTGGAGGCTTTCTCATTAATTGAATATATATAGGATTTACAACCTAATTATGAGATAACCTAAATTACACAAAGATATATTTTACAGAATATTCACAAGATAATATAAACATATTATCTAACAGTATCAACATATATTGTGGAAGGATACATTAAATCTTTTCAAAAACCCTTGTTTTATTAATGGTAAAGTAGGACATAGCACTATATATGTCACAACTTTTGTTAAGAATTTGATTTTTTAAAACTTACTTTATGATAGTTTGATTTTATTTCCTTTTCAAAAAAAACACGGGACATATGTGAGTATTACAGCTGAGAGAACTAGGAGTTGTCATCTTTGTTGCCAGCCCGGGAATACTTGGAGATTTACTTGACTGCGGTAAAGTATATCTTCATCTGATTAGATATATGGCATTTGATAAGGTTGAAATTTGGGCGTGAAATTTCTCTTCAAATTTGGGTAATTAATATTCAACACAACTATTGACATTGAGTTAACGTGAGAGAATACGTTTGAATAAGTACCTTGCAGGACGCATCTTGTAATTTTTAAAAAGTATAGGCATATCTTAACTCAATAACTACGGCTTACGGGGCAAGCTTGGAAAAAAACACCTTTTTTCATTTATTATTTTTTATTGCATTGATGTGGGTTGTTGGGGAATAAACGGACTACTTGCTGTTAGGTAGAGATGGCAATGGATCGGATTTGGATCGGGTGGAGTTTCACCCGCAACCATCCATTACTCTAATCACTCCATCCACATCCATCCGTCATCCGCTTCACCAATCATTCATATTCATCCGTACATCATCCGCGGATGATCTGAAACGGGTGGAGCGGATGACTAATGGATGAGTATTAAAGTGGAAAAAAACTCACATAAACTCTAATTTTTTTTTTTGAAACAAGGCTCCAAAGAGAGCATATCATTCATTCATAGCAATATCAGAATTCAAAAGGGATACAATGAAATCAGGAAACTCCGACTCCCAAATACGCCTTCCTACATGCCACAGACTCATATGAGCTAATTCATGGGCGACCTTATTACCTTCTCTACGCGAAAACGAAAAGGACACACTAACAAAAGACCTAAAAACATGATAAATATCATCAAAAATGTTATGAAGAGAGCTACTTCCCCTTTCCTGTGACTTCATTGCATTGGTAAGACCAAGGCTATCACTTTCCACAATTAATTCACGAAACCCATACTCTGCTGCTGTTCTTAGACCAAGTAACATGGCCATAGCTTCAACAATTTCAGGCTGCCACCTCTCCTCTAAACCCCACGACCCTGCCAACAACGCCACCCCATCACTATTTCTCACAACAACCCCAACAGAAGATCCCATACCCTCAAGAACACCAGCATCAACGTTCAGCTTCACGCATTCTCCATTAGGTGGCTGCCCGCGTTGTCTAGCACTTCTCCCACCCATCACTGGAGCATTTTCTTCCCCCTGCAGCTCGCACATCAGCTTATCAATATATTTAATTACACTACACGGGTCACATTGCTCCCTTTCGAATAGCCATTTGTTTCGTGCATTCCAAATAGACCAAAAAATGGTCATAAATCTGCCATGATCTTTACTTGGTAAGCGATTTAAACAGGACAAAGCCATATCCCCAAATGAATTATAAGGTCCCTGCAGCTCCATTTCAAGTCCACTAGCATCAGATTAAATGGGCAAGCACACAATCCCTTAAGCAATGTAGCTCCGATTCATCCTCGACTCCACACAAAGAACATGTAGGTGAAATACTCTGCACTCTTCTATGCAGTCCCTTAGCTGTAGGAAGCGCACCACAACAAGCACGCCAAAAGAACAGTTTAATTCGGGGAAGAGTGGCAGCATGCCATACCTCTTTCCACACATTAGAGGTATGTGAAGACAATGACAGCGAACTATCCTCAGAATCCCCAAAAATAGCTCGGTATGCTGACCGAACTAAGTATTCACCATTCTTCTCAAGATCCCAGCACCACGAATCTTCCGGGAGGCGAAAGCTAATAGGAATGCTTAAAATTCGCTCTCCCCCAAAAGGGAGAAAGAGTTCATTAATACGGCTTACATTCCACCTAGCTATAGGGAGGTGAATCAAATCACAAACCCTTAAATCTTCCGGAGCACTACCCCTAGGTGAAATAACCTTTCTTGTTTGAGTACCCGGAATCCAAGGGCTATTCCAAACAGAGATATTCAGCCCATCACCCACCCTCCATCTAACTCCACGGTTAATAACTCATTTAACACCCCAAATGCCGCGCCAAGAATAGCTTGGATTGTTCCCAAGTTCCGCATCTAAATATCCTCCGTTCACAAAATATCTAGCCTTAAGAACACGAGCCACAAGACTCTCCAGAAATTGCATGAGTCTCCAAGCTTGTTTCGCCAAGAGAGCCGCATTAAACAATTTAAAGACACGGAGCCCAAGACCCCCCCGCAGCTTTTGGCTCACAAAGCTTTTTCCAAGCCAACCAATGGATTTTACGCTCACCTTGCTTTTGTCCCCACCAAAAATTCGCCACCAAAGATCGCAATTCATCACAAAAGGAGGAGGGAAATTTAAACACACTCATCGCGTAGGTAGGGATAGATTGGGCCACGGCCTTAATCAAGACTTCCCTGCCCGCCTTAGAAAGAAATCCCCCCTTCCAACCCTGAAATCTCTTGCATAACTTCTCCCTAACACCCTTCGTTATCACCCTCTTAGACCTACCAATAACCGTCGGTAGCCCTAAATATTTATCATGAATATCTACCACCTTAACACCTAGTCGGCCCGCAAGAACCCCCCGTCTCTCCTCCGCCACCCCCTTGCTAAAACTCACAGTAGTCTTATCAAAATTCATCATTTGCCCTGAAGCCGACTCATAAATATTCAAAATATCTCTAATAGTATCCACTTCCTCCCCACTCTCCTTCGAAAAAATAATACTATCATCAGCAAATAGCAAATGAGAGATAGGCGGAGCTAACGGCGCCACTCGTATGCCATGTAAACCACCATGTTCTACTGCTTTATTCAACAAACCAGACAAAGCCTCAGCACATAAAATAAATAAATACGGGGATAGAGGATCACCTTGCCGAATACCCCGAGTAGGAATAAACTCCCCTGAAGGTGCCCCATTTATAAGAACAGAAAACGAGACCGACGAAACACAATGCATTACCCGGTTAATCCAAGGCTCAGCAAAGCCAAACTTGACCATAACTGCTCTCAAAAAATCCCACTCAACTCTGTCATACGCCTTGGCCATGTCCAATTTTAAAGCCATCGAACCCTTCTCACTATTTGAACATTTCATGTGGTGAAAAACCTCCAGAGCAACCAGAATATTATCTGTAATCAACCTCCCGGAGTAAACGCACTCTGATTGATAGAAGTAATCTCAGCTAAAAAAGTCTTTAGACGAATTGCAAGGACTTTAGTAATCAGTTTATACACCACATTACACAGACTAATCGGTCTAAACTCTGACATTTTGTCCGGCTCTTTTAATTTCGGAATCAAAACAATGAAAGTATTATTAATGGCCTCTGGAATAGTTTCACCATTAAGAATCCCCAAAATCAGAGTAGAAACAGTAGGACCCACAATATGCCAATAAGTCTGAAAAAATAAAGGACACATACCATCCGGATCAGGAGCCTTAAGAGGGTGCATTTGTTTCAAAGTTGTGTATATCTCCTCCTCCGTGTATGTTGTGGTCAAAACCTCATTCATGTCTGCAGTCACCCTTGGTTCAATACCCGTCAGCGCCTCATCAAAAGAAGTCGGGTTCGAAGTAGTAAATAGATTCCGGAAGTAATCAACAGCAACATGTCGAACCCCCTCCTCATCATGCACACGTACCCCTTCTTCATTCACCAAACTCCCAATGTGATTCTTGGCTCTACGCTGAGATGCCTTTCTATGGAAAAAATTAGAATTGCGGTCCCCACAGGTGAGCCAGAGAGCTCTAGATCGCCGACGCCAATAAATTTCCTCCAAGTGCAAAAGCTCAGAAATTTCCTTCACCACTTTCTTGCGTTCTACCACCTGCACATTCGACCTTCCCCCCTTATTTAGAGCCGCTAATCTCTTGCGCTTTTTCCTGATCTCATTGAAGACCTGGCCATATTCCTTATCACTCCAAGATGTTAACAGTTCAGCACAATATTTCAGCTTGCCTTCGATAAGAGTTCCCCCACTCACCCACGCTTGTTCCACCACTTCTTCACATTTAGGATTCTCGGACCAAACCTGTTCAAATCGAAACAATTTTGCTTTTTTAGTAGCGGGGTTCTCATCTTCACACAATAGCAACTTGATTGGTGAATGGTCCGACCATTCACGCTCCAAGTGGACAAGCTTAGCCCTCGGAAACGCCTCAAACCACCTATGCACCGCAAGAGCTCTATCCAACCTACATTGGATATTATCATCTGCACTCTGCCCGTTGTCATAAGTAAAATTATAGCCCGAGAATGGGACCTCCTGCAAAGCACAAGCATCTACCACCTCCCTAAAATTCTCCATCTTCCATAATGCTCTATCTCTCCCTCTTTTCTTCTCCGACTCCAGCAAAATCTCATTAAAGTCCACCCACCGATCATGACCTCCCCCATAAAGATCCTTTAACAATTTCCACGAGAGATGCCTATTTTGAACCTCCAGCCACCCATAGAAGCCAGTCAACCGCCACTCCACCGAGCCTACCCCTTGTCGAACCAACACATTAATGTGATGTATTGACATCGATCTCAATTCCACCTGTAAACCTTTCAGCCAAAACATAGCCACCCCTCCAGAACGACCACAACTATCAACTGCCAACCCCTCATAATTTATTAATTTTGCTTTAATTTTTACCATCTCACCACTACTAAGTTTCGTCTCCATTAAGAAAATGATAGACGGGGCCTCCCTTCGGATTAAATTCCGAAGATTATTAACTGCAGGAGTATTGCCTAAACCCCTACAGTTAATGCTTAGTACACTCATTGAGCTCGGCGGGGTAGCTCATCTGCTACCTCCGCCCCCCGCAATCCATTTGAACTCATATCAACCATATGTTTCTTCGGAATAATTTCTGCCTCCACCATATCACAGTCCCCTTCTCTATTACGTTTCCCAAGCGAAACCCCCCCTTCATAATCCATCCTACTCACTTCCTCACTTACTGACCCCTTCCCCCCTTTTTTATTCTTCCTTACAGACAACTTTCCCCCTTTGCCCCCCTCACCTACTACAAACTTCATAGCAGGTAGCATTCCACTCTCAACTTCTGACCACACCTTCTTACCCTCTTCATTTCCCCTCTCAACACTTCCCTTTATTAAAGAAACCTCCCCTGAGCTTCTTTCACCCATCCCACCAACTCCATCTTGCGCCACCTGCTTCTCTAATCCCTCACCTCTCCATTCCTCTTCATTTAGAGGCTTCTCAATCTCTATCAGAGAGGCATTCACAATAGAAGTTCCAATTTTTTCCTTCCCCTTATTCCTACCCTCATCTTCCTGTCTTACCTTCCAACTACCCTCTGCTTTCAACTCCCTCGGTTTATGAGTAAAAGTCAGTTTTCTGAGTTGCAGAACGAAGCCTCCCAACTTCCTCTTGTAGCTTAGCTCTCCCTTTGCGGGGGGAGGCACGCAACCACAAGCCCCATTGTTTATCATCTTGCTCCTCTTCCTCTGCCACACTCGGACAATCCTTCTCTGTATGGCCTAGAATGCCACATCCAAAACAGAATTTAGATAAGCGTTCATACTTTATTTGAACAACAGTCACAGCACCTCTCTTATTTCTAATTTTCTGGATCCTACGCAAAGGTTTCGAGGTATCCACTAGAACACGAACACGCCGGGATTTATCCCACCCCAATTCGTCCCTTTCAACCTCCAGAACTGCTCCTATTTTATCAGCAATGGTTTTAATATCAGTGTCCGACCTGCTGTCCAGAGGGAGATTATATAGTCTAATCCAAAAAGGGTAAAATTTCAATTCAATAGAATCCGGTTGTTCATCCCCATGAATCTCTCCTAACAACAGCAATTGATTATCAAAGTTCCAAGGAGCTCCATCTAACACTTTCTCCTTATCACGCCAATGAATGAATTGTATGATAAAGAGGTTATTTTCAATTTTACGGAAAACTACATCATGTTTCAATGCCCAAATCCGTTTCAAAGTCCTTTGCATAGCATCAAAGTTATAAGATCTCACCGTTAGTAATTTCGCAACAATCGAAAGAGCAATTTTATTCTCTTGATCATCCGGGTTGGACTCGCTCAGTTCTGCGATATCATCCTCCTCGGACGTTATTATAAGATTCTACCACTTCTCCGCTAACTCCTCCGCCATCGATCGCCGGCAAACACCCCGCCACAGGGGAGAAAACTTGAACGCACAAGAGCACTTACTCCGCCCTCCGCAAGAAAGGAAACCCTATTCTCTAGAGCGAGACTCTAGAATTTACATTTTTTTTAAGTACATAAACTCTAATTTTCGGTTATTTGTACAATAATTTTTTTTATTTTATTAATAAAAATTGAAACAATAACAATATAATGTTTGAAAAATTAATTTGCAACAAAAAATAGGTAATTTTCTTGCACATTTCATATTTTATCATTAAAATTCTTAGATTAAAAAATCTAAAATATGTTAAATGGGTTGGTGGATTGTTAGCGGGTAAAAAAGTATCATCCATATCCGATCCGATCCGTCACCCGCTTCTCATTCATTTAATTCGGGTTTTCGTCCATTTATGTATAGCGGGTGGAACAGGTTAGTGGATATGCACTAAATATTGCCATCTCTACTATTAGGTGCCGTTATGCCAACTGTAATACGGAGTAGTAGAGGTGATAAAAAATCGGGCCGGGCCTTAACACAATTTCTTGTGCCCAAACCCGCAAAAAAGTGGGGGCCTTGTCGGGCCAAAACGGGCTTTGCGGGCTTTTTCAGGCAAAGTTCGGCCTTTTTAACTAAAAAGGCGTTTGTTATGCTTGCCCAAACCCGCCTTATTTTCGGGCCGGGCTAGTAGGTCAGGGCAATGTTGATCGCCTGCTCTACGGAATAGTAGGTGAATTTCAAATGTGGCAAAACGTCCTAATAAGACAAAAGGAAATGACCACTATACCCATAATAAATGACTGAAAAGACTTTTATACCCTCATAAGTTTAAAAAAAAAAAAAATGGCGATGAGCATAGCCCTGCCTAGTCCTAGTGCCTCCTTTCTCTGTGAGTTCTCCATTGAAGTGCACTTAACATCGCACTTGACGTTTTCCATCGAGGCATTGTATCCCCCATTGAAGCAGTTTCCGAGGTAAATTGTTTCTTTTAGTAATCATCATATCAATTTCAAAGTCTCAATTATTGGTTCTAAATACTAAGATTATGAAAACAAAATTATGAGCCTAATTTGATGATTGAATCACATATGACATATCCCTATAATTATGTGATTTTTCGAATCAAATTTGGTTGCTAAATTCAATTTAAATTATTTTTTTTTTTTTTTTAAAGGATAATAACTTGTATCAAATTTTGGTTTGAGTTTAGGAAAGTTAAAGTCTTTGGCCTTGTTCTGTTCTCTCTCCTCTTGGTTGTTGAATTTGTGCTAATCTAATTTAATTATAACTAGCTGGTCATGCTTATCCTACCTCTCAGAGTTATTTCAGTTGACGTTCTCCGTTGAATCTAATTTTTGTATCCCCAGCTTCTAAGGTAACTTGTTTGTTGTTATTATCATCATATCAATTTCACAATCTAATTTTATTATCACTGCTTTAAGTTTAGGGTTCTAAATTTTAGATTATGAAACATCATAACCAAAATTATGACCCTAATTCGATTATTGAATCAAATATCCCTAAAATTATGTATTTTTTCCCTTGGTTGTTAATTTGTGCTAATGTTGGTCTGGATTGTTTTGATTATGTTTTTTTTTTACCTTGATCTTGTGAGTTTTTATAAGGAATTGATAATGTGGTTGAGTTTGATTTAAATCTTATACTTGATTAAGGTATCTCGAGAAAAAGGGTAGAAATTCTAAATTTAATTTCAGAATTTTGGTTTAATGTTGCTAATCTTTGATCTCCAATCTCAATCACAGTATGATAGTTCTGGTTGCTATTGCACAAGATGTTGAATTTTTTGTTGTTTTACTTTTGCTGTTATTGTTGTCTAATTTGTTGTTGTTGTTGTTGTTATTGAGGTTAAACGAGGCGAACCCAATCTGACATGATATGGATATGAGGTTGAAACGTTGTACCAGCACCACTACTACCTTGCAAGAGGACGTTGATAATAGAAACCTTGATAGACTTACTTGCCTATCTGATGAATTGTTAATTTATATAATTTCTTCACTTCCTACTAAGGATGCTGCTGCTGCTTGCGCCTCGTCTAAGAGGATGATTACCAATATATTCCATTCGCTTACTCACCTCAACTTTGATGATTCGCCTATAAGTCATTGTTCGGTGACACCCTATGCAATCGAACGTTTCCCCACTTTTGTCGCCTTTGTAGACTCCGTTCTCCAATCATACCACTCTCGCTATCTTACAAGCTTTAGTCTCGGAGTGGGTGCGCCCTTTCTTGAGAGGTCCAGGGATAATCACAAGCATAGAGAATATAGGTGTTGCAACGGCTTTTGTCCAGACTTGAAATCCACGCATATTAATGCGTGGATTTCTTTTCCTTTAACCTTTTCTGGACTCAAGGAGCTCAACCTCCGTATTCATGTGAGGGAAGAAGGGGTTATTCAGCTGCCACCAGAAGTTTTCAAGTGTGAGACATTGGAGATTTTGAAGCTTGATACTAACCTTGGTCTTGATCAAGCTTCAACCTATACATCCTTCCGTCTTCCTAGCCTGAAACTACTCTCCTTACATGCTGCTATGATTCCCGACGATGGCCTTGTGACAAGGCTTGTTTCAAGCTGCCCTATACTTGAGGATCTCACTTTGCTTGCAACTTGGAAACATGCCTGTTATATAAGTATCTCTTCGCCTTCTCTTCGGAGACTATCTCTGGAAGTGTTGAACAAATTTGAGGAGCATCACAGCAGTGACTTGGTGCTTATTCTTACTCCTAATTTGGAGTATCTTTACTACGGTGGTGATTTAGCATCACATTACAACATCATAAACATGGATCGCCTTGTCAAAGCAGACCTTGTTATTGAAAATGACTCCTTGGAGATTACATTTGAGGTTTCTGGCCAAGTAAAACTCAGCCTTTTGAGGCCATTGTCTAATGTTCAGCATTTGACTGTGAACGATACATTCTTAGAGGTTTAATTTGTCTCAATTTCTGATCTTGCCTCCATTCTGTCATCAATTTGATTTTAATTGATTAACTGACTTGACTGCTTGTTATCTGTTGATTTTAGGAATTAAACCATAAAGAGTTAAAGGATCAACTGCCCGTGTTTTGTTATTTGAAGTGTTTAGAACTGGGTTTCAATGAAGGTAGCTTTTGGGATAGTATATTGTTGGGATTTCTTAATCGTTCGCCTGTCTTGGAAACACTTGTATTCCCTGAGGTTAGTGTACATGTCGCTTTGTTCTAACTTGATATATTTTCACATACATGGATTGAATTCAGGAATGATTTAACAAATTTACTTTTATTATCATCTAATTTGCAGGGATTAACTGTATATCCTGAGTTATATGACGAGGAGGAACTTGCTTCAGAACAACAGTTTTGTAGAACAGCTCTGGTAGATGTTCCTACATGTTGCAGATATCATCTTAAAAAAATTGTGATTAAAAATTTCTTGGGATATGACAGGGAAATAGATTTGATCCAGTTTTTCCTGACAAATGCATTAGTTCTGGAGAATTTGGTCTTATACCCGGATCCCAGTGCAAATGTAGATCAAATGATGACAGTTCAGAGCACATTGCAAAACTTACCGCGTGCCTCTGTCACCTGTTCAATTCAAGTAGTGTAGATTTGGAAGAATTGCTCAAGCGCCTGAGCTTGAGTGCAAATTGCAGAAGTTTCCAGCGGCCTCTGTCTCCTGCTGGATTCAAGTAATGATCGAGGAATTTGCACTGTCCTGAGAAATGTTTATCTTCTATTTATTTGCCCTGGTTTATCTATATATATGTAAACAATATTTTGATTAGTTATGGAGTAAATTAATCATATTTATAATTTTACTCACATTCAAATACTTATTTACTGAGATAAGCTGCGCTGTAGGAAATTTTTCTACTTTGTTGGTAGGTTGGCTGTATGACAAACTGGCCTAATAAACCACACAAATACTAAACAACCTAGACAACCTCACCAAGCTGGGCATGGCACGAGCCATGAAAAACTTGACAGGACAAACTTCAAGACAAACTAATATGGAGGTTGGTAGCATACTAGCATGTAACCCGATGATACGTGGACTGACCGGCCGCTAGGAACTTATTGACGACATGACTAAGTAAAAATTAAGTTCGTATTTGATTTGAGTATTTTAAAAGAATTTCGTGATAAAATAATGGTTTATGTAGCCGACTCCTGCCTATTACTGAGAGATTTAGGTTTCCATGTCTTATTGTTGTTGCTACTCGATTTAGTAATTAACCATAGTATTATCCCATGAAAATTTGAAAAGAAGATTAGGAATAGGTGCATGTGAAAAAACTGTTTTGGAGGGACAAAAGAGATAAACAAACATACTACAAAAAGAATGCAAATTATGTTGAAATATGTATGCCAGCTTCCTCTAGTTGGAAGGACCACCCTTTATTTTTGTAATTACTAAATTTAGAAAGTCCCATGTTTTTTACCTCTTTATTCTCCACTAACTCTTCTGAATTTTCCAATCATTTTTTACCATGCATGTTACTATTATGTTACCACTAGCTTTTCATGTTTATGATATTGACTTGTGTTTCACCTAATTTTCCACCCTCTCAAGATATAGTAATACTACGTAATGTCTTTTGCGTGTTTTGATTAATTCTTGTTTTAATTAAAGATAAAAATGAAACATATACTCATAAGTCATAACGTATAACTAATTAGGCAATATAACTATCGCTCTTTTGAAAAAAAAAATCACTCGATTATAATAAAAGTGATCAAATAAAATTGATTGACTCTAAATTAAGACCTAAACTATATAAAGGATTAGAGAGTGATGGATAGCTCAAGTGGCTAGAGCTTCCCTCCCGATTCCAGGAGATCGTGGGATCGATTCTCACCCCCGCCTTTGTGGCTCTCTAAACACCAAAAAAAAACTATATAAAGGATTAAGTCGATTAGATTGTAATTAGTTAGTGAAGAGGTTTGGATGATATTTGTTTTGTGGAAGACTATAAGCAAATCCCCACCACAATCACATGTTATTGTCTTGTGCTTGGAATTTGGAGATGAAAATAAGAAAGATGTAAACTGATATCCTTCGTCGATCAACTAAATATAAGTGTATTATCAACCAAAATTATCAATTATAATTCATGGTACAAATCTTTACAAAAAAATAATAATAATAATAAATAAATAAAAAATAATAATGTACAAACTTTTAATACTACCTCCGTTACATATTATTTGCAACGATTTGACATAAAGTAGAGAAGAAAAATGTCTAATCGTTGCAAATAATATGTAACGGAGGTAGTAAGTTTTATATAGCCCAATAAGTTTTTATTGTGTATATACCAAGTCATCCTCATATTTGGATTTTAGTTCTCTATATAACATGCATGTTAATATGTTATATATTTCTATATGCTAATTATTGCTACCTAAAATTACTTAGCTTTTAACTAGCTATGTAGCTATGAGTTAATTGATTGTACTCTTTAACCTCGTTTATCTCATTGCACTACTACAAAAATGGCCAAAAGAATCAGTAAAAAGATTTCAGAATTGGGTTTAAGAAACCCCTTTATCAGAAAAGGGGTTTCTCAAGTTAAGCAAACAAACCCCCTACAAAAGGTGATTTCTCTAAGAGACTTCTTAGGCCAATTTTAAGAGGTTTCTTTCCATGTTTTTGTAGTGTTACATTATTGTTCAACAAAAATTCATTCTAATCAATAATCACTGTCTTGTATTTTGAATGAACTTTCTCGATCACATTTTTATGGTACAAGACTATACGCAACAAGTATATAATTTTGAACCCAAAATTACAATGCAATAAGTTAATACACTGAATTGTTGCATAAATAGAAATAGTGTAATTAGTATGACTTGTTGTAATACAGGTCATAACGCACTAAGGTATAAGACTATTAGTTACGCAGAGCATAAAGTAGTAAACCCAAAAATTACGCGTTTATTATAAAGAGGATAGTATATATGAACAATCTCGTCTGATTATGATTCCACTTATAAGTCTTCATCACACAAATTAAACATAATTAGTCAGGGAAGAGTGGGTTGGTTGGATGTTGATTCTCAGTTTCTCACACAAAGTGAAAGCAAAAATAAAGGTGTAAATTTAACTTAGGTTTATTGAACTCAACCCTACTTTTCCCTATAATAGAAAGACTATATTTCAGAAACTTAAAAGTTGGTTAACTTAAAATAGACAATATGAACTATATATAACACATACAATTATTGTTATTAAAAAACCCTTTTTTATATCAAAAAATTAAATAAAAATAAACCCTTTTTCTTATTACATATAGTTATGATTTCTTGCTTGAGGAGTAGAAGTGAGTTTAAGAAGTAAGAAAGAGAAATCAAGAAATCCAAATTAGGGCTGATTTGTGTAAATTCAGGAAAAAAAGAGTAAGCTTCTAAGACTTTTCTGCTACCTTGATCATCTCTTCAAATGGTGTTAATGAATTAAAGGGCTTTTTAATTATTATTGTTTCTTTTTTGTGCCTTTTTCCTTATTTTTTTTCCTAGAATTTGATCTCTTTCCCCTTATATTCCTGTTTTTGATACCCTTCATCAATCACACCTAAGGCGCGGTTTAATTAACTACAAGACGCGGCCTAATTAGCTAACTAAACCATTTGTTTCTTTATATTTCCAGTTTATGATCATAATAGTATGGTATTAAATGTGGTGGTTTATGCTTGTAAATTTTTTTGGAGGATGATGGTTATTTTTGACAAATTTACTTAACATGGGCTTTGTCTTAAACCTTGTAATATGTGAGTTATTTTTTTGTGGTTATTTTTGACATATTTACTCAGCATTTTATGTACTTAGTAACATTATATTTCCCTCAAATAAATTGGAAACAAACCTAGCTAAGTTTATTTCTTGAATTATTAACATACATAATGATACAATACATTTATAACTTTTTTTTTTTTTTTTTTTGGGAGGAAGAAAATTGAGCAACACATACACCATGGGAAGGGGAAAGATAGAGATGAAGAGGATAGAGAACAGGACTAATAGGCAGGTGACCTACTCGAAGCGACGACAAGGGCTAATGAAGAAGACCAAAGAGCTTGCCATTCTTTGTGATGCTCAAATTGGTCTAATCATCTTTTCTGGAACTGGAAAACTTCATACTTTTCCTGAATCTTCCAACAGGTCAATGTCAATTAATAATGTGGATTATTATTCTTATTTAATTAGATTTAATTGAAATCAAAGTTATTTAATTTTAACTTCATCAATTGTTTTTAATAAAATTTTACATGATTTTCTTGTGCATCTTATATAAGTATGTAGCTAAGCTAGCTAGGGTTTTCCTCTCATCAATTACTTTTCTGATGTTTTTTCATGTGGTTTTGAAATGATTACTTTTACTCAGTTTTATTTTAATTTAACTGCAGATCTCTGGAGATCTTTGACCAATTTCATGATGTCTTTTTTTGAAAAAAAAAAAATTATGTTATTAGAATTAATCTAATTTTTCTTACCCTATTTTTTTTTCTTCTAATATATATGCTGTTTTGTTAATCATAGCATAAAAAACTTGGATAATCCTGACTAAAATGATTAATCCATGTTGTTTCAAAAAAAAAAAAAAATGATTAATCCATGTGATGTACCTAAGTTATAATTCGATCAATTTCCAAATATTAATTTTGATGGGGCGATAAGTATATTATTACTCTACTAATCAATTAATACAATTTATATAAATTCATTTTATTTGTTAATTTTGCTAGGACCTTGATGTTATATAATTATGTAACAATGTAACATAAACACATTCAATTAAATTGTTGAATAATAGCTCAACTTCCTCAATGCTTTCTTGACCTATTTGTGCTTTTGATATCGACTCTTAAGTTACTCGATTTGTAGACCCTTGAACGAGTTTTTATTAATCAGTTGTGTATAACTTGATATTGACTACATGGCCTTAGTGTCACGGTATGAGTGTTTTTTGTACGAGCTAAGGTACTCTTAATTTTGACTGTATGGCCGGCGACCTAGAGTGATCGATCGAGCTTATAAAGGTGTTATGTATGTTTGCATGACAGCAGTCTAGAGCAAACCATACAGAGGTATTTGAATGTTCAAGGCATTCAGCTCCCAGTACAGGATAATCGGGTAATTATTAATTACAAACACGAAAAATTAATTAATCCCTTGTTTTTAATCCAATATGATCATGACTAGCATGAATTTTAATAAGTCTAATATAAAGAATAAATGTTGGATTATACCTTGTACAGGCAGAACTATTTTCGGAGCTGCAAGCGTTAAGGGAAGCCATTCACAACGCCGAGCAAAGCATAAGGAACTACTTGGGTGAGGATTTGGGTCCTCTACCCCTTGAGGACTTGCATAAACATGAACAAAAGCTTGAGTCTTCCTTGAATGTTGTTCGAGTTCGAAAGGTGATTAATCTGTCTTTTTTTTCTGACTTAATTGGTTTTTTGGATGAACCTCAAGAAAATTCACTGCTGTTTAATATTTTCTCTCTTTTTTTTTCTTCATGTACTGGAAGAAATGGACTATAAGTCTTGAGATTTTATTTAGAATTTTGTTTAGTAAAAAAATGTGTTTATAATCATGTCAAAAAATTTCTGAAATAATGTTTAATTTCTGGTCTTCCAGAACCAGCTCATGCAACAGCAAATGGAAAATCTTCGCAGAAAGGTTATTCAAATTAATAAATGATTGTGTTTGTACTAAATTCTATATCCATTTATGCTAGGACTAATTCTAATTCTCTTAACCATAATTTCTTTAAGCTAATTACATAATTTTATTATTCATATTGGGTTATAATTGATTGTACTGCAGGAATAATTGTTGCAGACTGACAATGGAAACATGTATCATTGGGTAAGCAAGTCACAATAAAACTTACTCTTCTAGACCGCGTTTATCTTTATAAAGAAATTAATTTGATCTCATTCTCATAGTTGATGGGAGGTGGACAACTTCAAGAGCAGCAGCAGCAGCAGCAACTAATGGGGCAGATGCCGTTTATCTATGGAGAAGACCAGCCAAGTAGCAGTACCGTACTCCAGCTTGGTACTTCATCTTCATCGCCTCATCAGTATTATCCTTACCGCCTTCAACCCACTCATCCTAACCTTCAAGACTATGGTAATTCTTCGATATTCATATTCGTTTTTCAGTATTCATATATTCTTCAATAGATTATGATATACATTATACAGTATATATTCTCATTGTTTGTCCTGTTATTTTGCAGAGTGAGTTGTGTCCAAAGCAAGGCTATGCGCGTGGGTGTATCAGTTCTGACAGAATGAAGATGGATATGCTTCAAGTGTGGCTTAACAGTTTTAGAGTTAAATACGGTTTACAAATGTTTGCTACTACATAAATCTTGTTACATAGTTTACAAATTAAACCTGTTTTTAGTCTCAGGAAATTATCTCTGATGTATGATTTTCTGATTGTTGTGTACTGTGTTTTAACTTTTATCATTTGATTTATGAAGAGTGTGTGTAGTTTATCTCTTGATATACTTGCTCCCTCTTTCATCATGACCCTTAATCGGAAATAATTCATCTTGTTGTAAAGACATCTTGATGAGATTAGATGATAACAGTGTGAAACAGAACCTGAAAATAAGTGTAAGCAAGCCCTGTTGGCTTGATCTTGCAGATAACAAAGACCAAGAGAACGGTATTCAGATAACTTGCAGAGATGCAAAAGTAACAAAAGTTACAAAACTAAAACAGGAAACTATGGGAGCAAAGGAGACGGTTTTTGGAGGCAAAATATGCCTATGATGCTATTACTTGTACTTATTTGTTCAATTATGTTTGCTTTTACATAGTAAAAAAAAGTAAATTCATCTCCACTATTACACCGTGTACGTACCTGTCCGAAATTAATAGTCAACATATAAAGATGACAATAGAGTCTTTTTAAATAAAAATAAAACGATGGAAGAAAGGAGACATAAGTAACCCTTTGAAAAAGATAAAAATATAAAATTATGTCACGTCTTTGAAAATGAAAATTTGGGGCAATTTGAAGACTAATTTATATCTTTTAAGTTTCCATCATTATAGTAATAAATGACTTCTAAATTAGTGATTTATTTAGGCTTGCTAACCTTTGTGGCAAATCAATCAAGTTAATTGTTTTAAATAGCAAAATGTGACAGGAATAGCTCATGGATTAACCATGTCGAATGTTACTTAGAAGACTGATATAACCTTAATTAGAAATTATTAAGTATACCAAATTACCAACTACCAAGTCTCCCTCATATTTTGGTTTTAATTCTCTAACTTCCATGTTTTTCTTTGTGCTAATTATAGATACCTAGAATTTACTTGTAATTAGCTAAGAAGCTATGGACTATGATTTTATAAGAGCATAAATAGTGTTCTGTATATACAAAATCATACTTTGTATTATACTCGTGAATTAAGATTTGTTTTACTCTCTAATCTCATTTTTTATTTATTCCAAGGACTATGTTATTATGTTTGACATTCCCAAAGTACCAAGACTATAAGCTACACGTAGATAATTTTGAACCCGAACCACACGTTCTATACAAGGTACCCAGGTTCTTCTAACCGTGACTTGTTTGGAGTATAAACAGAAGCAGTGTAATTAACCGTGACTTGTTTGGTATGCCGCATTGCAACTTAGGTCATACTGCACTAACTTATATTTACCAATACTGATCTACGTAGTATAAAAAATGAACCTAGGCAAGACCAAGCACATCTTAAGCAAAAAGTATGAACATATCTCAGTTACCTGTAGCGAAGAACAATAAAACAGATATTCATCAAGGGCAAGAAAAGTATAAAAAGATAAATAGGCTGTGAATAAAAATGCAGACCAAGATAATGTATTCGCCATCAAATTATTAGTTTTATATAAGAAAAACCATTAGCAATTTCAGGAGTTGGACTAGCATTATAACATCAACCATTAAATTACGATAGTTATCACAATAACAATATCACACCATATAATTGCAAGGTTCATCGCATATTGTTTCAGGAACATCCTCACTTCTTTCCACTCTTCTTCAGTCCTGAGCCTCCGAACTGTCCCTTCTGAGATGCCTTTGCTCTAAGTTCTTTAAGAGCCTGCTCAAGACAAAGAAATCAAATCATATAACTGTCTTTCCCACAAGCCACAACACCTAGGGAAAAAAATCCCAAGTACTCACCTTCTCCTCTTCCTTCTTCTTTTGAAGAGCGGCCTTGTCATCCTATATCACAAACAAATGAAGTCATGAAAGTATTTCAGCAAAAATGGATCCAGATACATAATACTGACAAAGTCCTATTCATATCACACATACCAAAATATAACAAACATGACATGTCCCCAATAGAAGAAAGAAATTTATAAACAGCTAGAAGAAGATACGATTTTACTTGAGATACCATGGAAAACCAGATACATGGCATACATCCAACATGAAGATAAATTAGCACATTTTAAAAAAACACTACTAGGAGATCCTTGGCATAGGAGGGAAATAACAAGAGCCTAATACTTGGTAACGGGAATAAGAAAAATTAATTGTTGCATTTCGGAGTAGGAGAACAGCTCATAGTAATGTTTCCCAAAGTAGCCACTTAGACATATGGAACAATTGATGCCTCACAAAAAATAAATATTAGGAAAGGTTATCTAGTAGAGGGCCAATGAAGGAAATGATTGATCAAATCAAGGAAATACAGACGTAGACTACTAGACTCCCTACCCTCATACCCTGTGTTAGATGTGGATCTCGTAACACTCGATTATGTGTCCTGGGATAGCATAGTTTAAACATAGTGCTAAAACAAAGCCACTACACTTTGTTAAGTGTAAGACTAACAATTTGGAGCAAAGATCATGGTAGCAGAACACATGGAATACTCAGTACACCACTTAACAATAAACAGTAGTCATAAGGTATGAAACCCAACCTATATCTTCACAGACAATGAATTGATCAATCATAACTCACCTCAATTTTTGAGGCAAGAAAAACAAACAACCGAGCTCTCACCCCGCCTTAGGTTTCTCAGTAATCATCATGGATCAACCAGGACCACTAAAGTTAACTAATTCATATACAAACTTAACTAAAAGATTTACTACATCCAGGGCAAACAGATGCAGTCTAGAAGTAAAACCTCGATCAACGAAGGATTGATGAACAGATTCTCGAGCCAATCTATACCTTTCTATCAAATCTCCGAAATAACTAAATAAGTATTAGCTCAATTATTAAGTTATAAAGGGATTAATTTCTGGACCTCCAATGTAAAAAAGTTCCACAAGTGACATAAATAAATAAATAAATAAATAAATAAATAAATAAATAAATAAGACACAAATTATTGATTTAAAAGCAAAAGACTGGGAAAATAACTAAATTAACATTCAAAGTAAGCTCAAAAACAGCAATCAAACAACTTTTCATTCGACAGCCACCATAAAAACAAATCAAAGCATAAGCAATACAGATCAAAACCTAATTTCCGATCCAAATCACAAACAAATCAATATTAAACAAAAAAAGATAAATATGGAAAATTAAATACCTCATCCAACTCAGTCTTATCCTTCTTAGGTTGCTTCAAAGGCTTCAACTTTCCACCTGCAAACAAAAATAGGGCAAAAATTGTCAGTTTCAAAGCAAAATTCAATGATCGATTCAAGATAATTGTCGAAAAAGAAGAGAGAGGAACCTTGCTTAGACATGATTGAGCGTTGTCTAGGGTTAGGGTTTGGTCTGGTTTTTGAGTTTGAGAATAATTGGGAATTTTTTCCAGAAAAGATAAACCCAGTAACCTCCCCTTTTCGAATTTATTTTCAACACAAAAAGTTAAAAAGTAGAGACACCAAGATATATAATAGCCGGACGTACCACCCACTTGACCCAAATGGAACATTGTGGGCATATTTTATCTTCACAATGGTTCTTTTTTAGTGATGGTTAGACTATGTTCTTGATTAGCGAATTTAATCAGTCAAAAGATATTTTTTTAAAAATAACCATCAAAAAAATACTTGAATGCATCCGAGCAATCGAGTCTTATTATCTTTGGACGGATGTATTGTGTACTACCTCCGATTTTTTTAGTTGTAACTTTGAAATATTTTATATCTCACAAATAATATTCTAAAGTTGCAACTAAAAAAATTGGAGGTAGTATAATTTATTTTTACACTTTAATAGTGGAGTATTTAGGGGTTTGCTCTGCTCTTATTAACCTCCACTTTTAATTAATGATATAAATGTAGATAGATTCGAAGAATATTGTGCATTATCAAAATTTAAGACCTAAACAAACTAAGGGTCTATTCTCTTACGTTGAAATTCAGTTCAGTTCAGTTCAGCTCAGTCCAGCTCCTAATTTTCTTCTCTTATAAAATATTCATTTCAGTTCAGTTCAGTTCAGCTCAATTCAGTTCAGTTCAACTGAGTTCAGTCAATGAGAACAGACCCTAATTCAACTTGAATCCCTTACCATCCCCCCTCATATTATTTGTCTCTCCAATTCCTTTTTATTTGGACACTCTCATCATCAAAAACAATTATTTACCCTCTTTTTAAGACGATTGGTCTTGAGTAAGCATCGCCATAAATTTGTAATTGTATCATAAAAAAAAATATTTATCTGATGTGAAAGCAACTTTTTCTTAAGGAATAGTAGAATGTCATTCATTAATTAATGGACAATCTTACATGAGAACATAAGAAGAGATTATAGGAGGGAAAAAGTTTGATTTGAGTGCAACTTGATTATATTTTAAATGATTAGAACTCAAATTCAATAGAATATGACTTGATACTTTAATATCCGAATTGAACCCAACCCACACAATTGACCAGCACATAGGGCATGTTCATATTTACTTAATTCCAGTTCACTTCAGCTCCAATCAGTTCAGCTCTTAACTCTCATAAAATATTCATTTCAGCTCACCTCAACTCCAATCAGTTCACCTCTTAATTACTCTCTCTCATACAATATTCATTTCAGTTCAGTTTAGCTCCAATCAGTTCAGTTCAGCTCAATAAATATGAACAGACCCATAGCCACATATTTGTAATACTCCGTACTAGGATTACATGCTTAAAACTATAAGCGAAATTAAGAATGCATCTCTTCAAAATATAATTACGATAGAAATTTATTAAAAGAAAAAATGCATGTTGGAGTTCCATACTGGCCTATTGGGCCCCTGATTTATTCGTTTTGGACAGCCATATTGGGCCTTTGATGGTTTATTATATAGACATAATAACTTCTTTATTTTTATTTATTTTTATTTTTTGTGTGTGTGGGGAAGGAATCATATTCTTTACCTTTAGAGCATCCACACTAGTGAGCAAAAAAAATTCTCTCATTCTCTCTCTACCCACTTTCTCTCTCTTCCCAACTAAATTTGCTCATGAGCATTTTTAGTGAGCAAAATTTATCCCACTAGTGAGCAAA